TTAAAAATATTTTCTGTGTATTAGAAAAATCCTGAAACTTCACTTGTAGGGAACACACTTGCAAGCAAATGTTAGAGAGCTGACAAGTAACGGTCGCTAAGATCCAGTTGTATTCTGTGCTAATGTGGTAGAAGCAATGAACTACAATATCAACAATGTGAGTGTTTTAGCATGAGTGAAACATTGGCAGGATAACCTTACCTGATCTTTTTCTCCTTTTCAGGGCACACCCATAAAATATGAAAGCAACTCTGGCCAGTCTGCCATCAAACACAATGTAAAATCTTTAATCACTGGACCAAGCAAGCTACCCCGTGGAATGCCTCAGCTGGAAATGGTGCCAGAAAACGTGAAGGTGGTGGAGCGAGGAAAATACGAAGATGTGAAGACCGGGGATGCAGTACGTTCCCGTCACACGTCAGTAGTCAGCTCTGGTCCCTCTGTTCTCAGGTCAACTCTTCATGAAACTCCCAAATCACAGCTGAGCCCTGGGATTTATGATGATACCAATGCTCGGAGGACACCTGTGAACTATCAGAGTCCAATGTCCAGGAGTTCACCCATGATGAATAGAGTTAGTGAGGGTATGTTATTCCTATCCACAGTAAGACAAGAAGTTATAATAATTTAATTTTAAACTTACTTTTAAACTGGTTTCTGTAATCCATTCTACTTTTTTTTTTTATCCTAATGGCTTCTCTCAATTTGGAGGGTGGCTAGAAAGCATTTTAGAAGGCTGTAAGCTGTTAACTGAAATAAGAAAATGAAAATATGCCATGTTGTAACATGGAGGTGGGAAGGCAATTCAATCTCAGTTTGTATTTGATTATGGATCACACTGAAAGTGTTACCTACAACAATAACGTTTTAAGTGCAGAAGCGATTCCTGAATTATAGAGGTCTCTAGATGACGAAGACAATATGGTGAAGTGTAAGCAATCTTAGTTTTAGAATTTAGATTTTTCACCAGAAATAGTTTGTGATACAATAAATCACAGAGAATATTTTATATCCGATTGCAAGGTCCTCTAGAATGTTCCTTAGGAGCCACTGTATAGTTACAGCTCAATTTTCTGTTGAAAAATATGCATTTTATTAATTTGGGGGTTTCATTGTTTTTAGCTGGAATATCTTCTGGGAAGCCAGCAAATCACGAAAGGAAAAACACACTTACTCCGACACAGAGGGACAGTGTGCCAGCAAAATCTCCAGTCCCAGGGGTTGATCCTGTAGTGACTCACAGTCCTTTTGACCCTCATCACAGAGGAGCAACTCCTGAAGTCTATAGGAGTCACCTCCCTCCTCATTTAGACCCTGCTATGCCATTTCACAGGGCTCTGGATCCTGGTAAATACGTTGGCGTTGGGTTTTTTATTTTAGTTTTGGAAATATTGTATACTTTGATGCACAAAAAAGATACCTTTAAAAGGCAATTATCAATGGTCAGATACAATTTATAAGTAGTTATATGTATACACTGTTGTGGTTTTATTTCAGTTTAGTGGGGGGTTTAATATCTAACCAGGAAACTTATTAACATATTATTGTATAAAACTGTAACTTTCATTCAGAAGCTGCCAGGTTGCTTCTGTTCTATTAAAAAGTTCAGGCAGTATTTTTAGATCAGTATTTGTGAAATATATTAAAAGCTTTCAGGAAAGCTATGCGAAGAAGGATGTGGAAGATGCTATAGAATAAAAGTGTAATCAGGACCCCTGTGTTCAGCACTGTGATTCATTCTCACTGAGGGATTATCAGGTTATCCCTGGTGATACCAATACAGTAGACTTCTTTTAACCTATCCTTCGTCTACTTCTGTGAGGCATTTTAACCTTCTTTAGGTATTTCAGCCCTTTACATCTTCAGAACTTCAGGATTTATATTTTTAATCTAGTCTCTTCTCTAATGCATATCTCTAGTCTGGATTATTTAGCTTTTTCTGTCTGCATGCAGTGCATAAATTCAATAAAACATCACTATAAAAATGCTATTTTAATTCATTTGGCACTGACTAGAGAGAATTGATAGCACTTCTCATTGAAGCTATATAAACATCTGAAACTTTCATTCAGTATAACCTGAAACTTTCATTCAATACTGCCCACACTGCTTCCTAAACCATCTTTTTTCCCTCCTTCACCCTCAGCTGCTGCTGCTTACCTGTTCCAAAGGCAGCTCTCACCCACCCCAGGCTACCCAAGTCAGTATCAGCTTTACGCAATGGAGAATACACGACAGACAATCCTAAATGACTACATTACCTCACAGCAGATGCAAGTCAATTTACGTCCTGATGTAACAAGAGGATTATCTCCTAGAGAGCAAACTTTAGCTCTCCCATATGCAGGAGCGAGAGGTATGCCTGTGGTTTTTTCTGATGTTCTTGAATGTGTGTTTTGGATATGTGGTGTGGTTTGATTGATTGGTTGGTTTGGTTTGTTGCTGCTTATAAACATATGTGTTTGTATGCACGGATGCATGCGTGCATACAAGTGCATGTGTATAGAAGCATTTGCAAATGAATTGTAATACACCTATCTGGCTTTTGTGGATATAAAGGAATGCTGTATGTAATTAATATTGTTAAAGGGAAGGCTGTAAGACTTGTTAGTGTTTAAGAAGCTAGACTGTTTTATGCTAGTTTAAATTGATACTCAGAAGCATTTTTAACTCATCATCAGACCAGAAAAGAGAATTATATCAAAATGAGAGCTTCTTCAAAATGAAAATAAAAGCAACAGCTAAAAGGGTAAGGTTTGTGAAAAACATGGTGATTATTTAAAGATGTTTTGTTAGAGAGTTAGCAAATGTGTGTGACCTGCTGCAGGGTGGGGAAAAGCCTAAATTAATCTGGACATTTAACAGCAGCAGGAAGGAGCTATTAAAAGTAAAAAGACATCTCGCAGAAGTGTAACTCCTCAAACACAGAAAATGGAAATCTTGACAGGTTAAAGGTCAAAAAAATTGAGGAACAATGAACTGGTAACTTCTTCAGATACACCAGGAGCAAGAAACTTGGCAAAGAAACTGTAGGAACTGATAAATCATCAAAACTCAGAAGTTATGCTTCAGAAGATAAACAAAGCAACTTCTTTGCAACTCTGTTTACTGTGAAGAGATTTATATTTCTGTGATGGAGATTTTCTTTATGGACACGAGTTTGAAGAACTCTTTCACATTGAAGTGTTGAGCAGAGTCTTAGAACAAAATAATAAAACGAATAGTTACAAATCCTTGGGCTTACATATCATTCTCCCAGGAGTAACAAACTTAACAGCAAATAGTCAATCTACCAGCTTGGTTACTGGATATGATAATCTGGCTATCGATTAAATCAGTTTTGATAGTTATTGGTAAAATGGAAGATAGCACATGTAAGGGAATTAAGCTGGTAGGACTAATTATCTTGCAGATAAGATGTAAGATTTTGTAGTGTTTTAGTTGTTGGAAAAGAAAGGATAAGTGGGTTTTGTAGTAGGAGAAGTTATATTGGAGTTCCAGCGGGACCTGTGTGTTTCAAAATTTCATTTCATTTTATGAACATTAAAGGTCTGGAAAAGGGAGTGAATGATGCCAGGTAATACCATTTTACTAAAAGATAGGATTATTGAGTAGAGGTGAAGTGTATTTTTCCAAAGGGCAATTAAAGGGAGTGCTAGAAATGCAAATTCTGACTTAGTATGTTCTGAAATTGCTGATTGCCAGATCCAACTGGATCGTAGTTCTGCACTTGCCTTATTCTTGTATTTTTTCCACTCAACATTAACTGCTGACCATTATCAATGAACAGAATATGTAATATGTGGACCATTGGCCTGTCCTTGAATGGCCATTCTTACATGAGTCATCTTCTAACAGGAATTATTGACCTGAACAATATGGCTCCCACTATCTTAGTGCCTCATCCTGGAGGAACAAGCACACCACCCATGGAGAGAATCACCTATATCCCCAGTACTCAGCTTACATTCCCTCCCAGGCCTTACAATCCTGCTTCTCTGTCACCAGGTACAAGCTCCTGCAATTTGGTGATGTCTCTTATCATCTGACATGCTGAGATAATTGACCATCCTTATTTAGCTTTCATTAATGTCATGTTTTAATGTTTTCTCAGGTGATGCTTTTTGCATGCACTTCTCACTTGGATAGCAAAGGTTTTCTTAATGATATCCTTTATAGTTACATTAGCAGCTGAAGGAGCGCTGACAAATTCAGAATTTGTCTCATTCTGTCAGGTCTTTTATTTATAGTAATTTGATTATGATTTCACTAACCTCGTATTACATGTGTTGAAGGGTAGAATTTGGGTCTATTAGCTGTCTAGTTCCTAACTGTATAGAAACCACTTTAGTAAAAAGCTGTTGAGCCTTCCACTGTCACTGTATGTTAAGCTTTTGTCTTCCTAGATAAATGGATAGTCTTGAGTGGAATGAAAATGTATTTGGGAAATTTTGCTGTAAGTGGATGACAGAATATATTGGCAAGTGTTTACATCAAATTATGCTTAATTTGAGTACCTCTTTTTGCTTATTCATTTTATCTTGTGGACCTTCCAGGACACCCTACACACCTGGCAGCTTCTGCAGCTGCAAATGCTGAAAGAGAACGGGAAAGGGAGAGGGAGAAGGAACGGGAAAGGGAGAGGGAACGTGAGCGAGAGCGGGAAAGAGAACGCGAACGAGAGAGGGAGAGAATAGCTTCTGTCCCTGC